ATATATACACACACACAAATATATATCCATTCTTTGAGTTAATGCCCCTTCAATTTATTGATACCAATAACCTCTATTTTTCATACTCATTGTGCATATACTTTCACTATAATGAAATGGTTGTAAGCCTTTCACCATATCAGTTCATTGAGTGCTTCAACCTGCTCATATATTGATATATAACATATTTTGCCATATAATTTCTTGCAATATTACTTTTTTTGGGGACTACCAAATTTTCATTAACAAATGTCATGGCTAGAAGTTTGTAACAGGACTGAACACCATGCATGCTTCACCTCACAATCAACAGATACAAGATCAGAAAAAGAAAGAACTCAACACAGATTTTGGAATTATCAGTTCAGATACCAGTATAAACAGTGTACAGATAACACCACAAAATTACTGGGTTCTTCCAACTACAGTATGATTTATAATATGACTTACAAAACCCAGTTTATGCAAATTAAAATGATATAATCACAAAGAAGGACAAAAACTTAGATGACTCCGTAGGTGCAACTCAAACTAAATCACTGCCGAAAAGATCGGGTTGTCCGGTTTGGACGGGCAGATGAGCCAGAACCAAGTGGGGGGAAATCATCCCCATGTATCTTGAAGGGGCTATCTATTGTCGACTCGATTGGATTTGAATGCACACGATGGACATCTGGGTTTTGATTATTCTGATGTTTATGGATTTCTAAATTATGTGCTGCTGGAATCGATGAACTTTGATCTTGGTTCTGCTGCACTGGAACCGCTTTAGGTGGGTACCAAAGGGGTTGAAGATTCTGCAAATCTGGGTCTGTGGAGAACTTATATGGGAGCTTACTATCATCCATTTTCCTGAATGTAATAGAAATCCTGCAAGACAATATTATTACAAGGAGTCAAGACCATAAAAAATAAAGAATTTAGTCAGTTCACATTATTAGGATAGAACGTTGACATTTGATAATCTAACTTTACCTTTTAGAGGGAACGGCTGGTACACAATGTTTCGCAACATCAGCAGCATTTCCATTTAAAATTAACACAGACCTGCAAAGATGCCCACTTGTTACTTATGTTGATGAAATTTGATAATAAAATAATAAAACCAACAAGAGATTAACATAACTCAATTTTTTAAAAAATATTTTTTTAGTAGAATATGCTAGATTCCATAAAGAACAATTTGCAGTGGTATACATAAAGAACAATTTGAGAAATTAATATCATTTTGGTATACATACCCAACAGGAAGAGGAATCGCAGACGAACCAGAGAATTCTCCTGGTCCAAGAACCTTGAGCTCTGTTCCAAATAATATTCCACATTCTGATAGGAAAGAAACTGTGCAAAATGGTCGGACAAAATCATGGTGATCAATGTGAGGAGGGATGCAGTCATCCTCGTCATATATGTTGACGATGCAACTGTTGGGTATGCATGTAGGTGGAAGAACATGCCACGCCACCATTCTTTTGATCATCAATTTCAGTAGAGGAGGAATGGGATCAACTTCCTCATCTCGTATTATACCTGGAGGGTTCCCATGCTTGTCCTACAAATTAAAATTAATGATTATCATCACAAGAAAAGAAAAAAAGTTAACCATAAGTTATAATGAGCGATATGTATTTACCACTGCATAGTTATAGCAGCAGCCAAACTGAATCGTCACACGACCTTTCCCTCGCATCCATTTCCTCGGCTCTGAATAGGTTCGTTCTGAACAAAAAATATTTGTAACAATATGATAAGCATGCACAAGTTACCCTACAATACAATTCGCTGAAACTAGAACAAAGCAGATAACAATACAATACAAAACTTTGATGGTACAGTATTAAAATTGACAGAATTAGTACACAGTAACTCATGTACTTCTATCAGAGGAGCATAAAACTTATCCTGTAATTAACTAATCATGCAATACAAAACATCATCCAAGACACTCTGTTCCATCAAAATGTATTTGTACTTAAGTTGTATGCTTTACAAAATTTTGATGTACAGTATCGAAATTGACAGTAATTAACTAAGTTGTAAGACACTCTGTTCCATCCTGCAATTAACTAAGTTGTATCAAAATTGACAGAATTAGTACACAGTAACTCATGTACTTATATCAGAAGAGCATAAAACTTATCCTGTAATTAACTAATCATGCAATACAAAACATCATCCAAGACACTCTGTTCCATCAACATGTATTTGTACTTTAGTTGCATGCTTTACAAAATTTTGATGTACAGTATCGAAATTGACAGTAAATAACTAAGTTGTAATACACTCTGTTCCATCCTGCAATTAACTAAGTTGTATCAAAATTGACAGAATTAGTACACAGTAACTCATGTACTTGATATCGAAAAACATAAAACCTATAGTGCCTATTACAATATTAATAGAAGACACCAATGTTCTTTAAATAATATTTGACCAAATTTTGGTTTCCATCATCAAGTGGTCGGTAAAACTTTGATGCAAACTTCTTCTATGAATGTTAATACTTTCAAATCTGCACCAACATGCTATCATGCAATCAGATAATTTGCAAATTAAATCCACAGTAAAAAGAAAAAAAATCAAAATTTAAAGGAATAACAATAGAAATTATTTGTACCTCTAAGCATCCCCTTCCTTCCTTTGTCCTGGAAATCATAGATGCAATCGACGATCCGTCGCTGCTCAACCGCACTGAACACTCCGGTATGAAGCTCGAGCCCCTCCAGCACATTGATCCACCTGCCATTCACCTTCTCCATGTGCTTGAAGTCTTTCTTCCTCTTCACCAAGGATAACCTAATCGACTCCCGCTGTTCCCTAGGCAGAGTCGCCCCTTGCTTCGACGGCTTCCCTTCCTCTTCGCATCCGACCTCCCCGGGCGACTTATCAGCAGTCCCGCAACCACCCTCCGGGACGGTCCGGATCTGCCGGCGAGCCTGCTGCCCCCGCCACGCCGGCGACCTTCCCACGCCGAGCCTATTAAACGTCCCTGAAGAGAACAAAAAAAAACATTGAATCGTGAATCAAAATCTAACCCTAATAACAACGACGGAAAAGGAAAGGAAAGAAAAGCGAGAGGGAAGGGGCAAACAATCACCAGAAAGATGATCGCCAGAGACGCTGGAATTTCCGCCCGACATCGATCGAGATAGAAGAGAGAGAGAGAGAGAGGCGTCGATCCTGCTAACTGATGGAATCTAAGGAAGGTCCGTTCTCGACAGACTCGTGGGGATGGGGGAGACGGTGGTCGCCGGCCCACGATTTATAGAAGGGAGGAATCGATCCAACTCGGAAGCAGATTCCGAGTCCGACTCGGGTAGGGATATATGAAGCCGAAACGGAGTCCTTCAACTCCGAATCGACCGAACTCCCAGGTAGATCCAGTGTTCGAATCGGGTAGGGATTGACGAGTCCGAAACGGACTCGGAATAGGCAAAACGGTATTTACCTTAAATGCACACCGTTTTGGTTTGGATTCGCGTGACGCCCATTGTTTCCCCAACGACGCACGCTTTTATACCCTTTTTCTTTGCGGCTTGCGAATTCCCACTAACGTGTCGCTGATTCGTGGAAGCCGGGTACCCCACCGCGGGTCCAGATCTCCCTCCAATGAAGACTCGGGTGAGGCTTGTGGTTGATGCCAAGGAAGCGACCTTTTGTGACGCCAGCTCAGATTGTAAGGGAAATATCTTTCCTGTTTCTGGTTATACAGGGAATCCGAGAACAAAGTCTCCCTAATTTGGTGGGCGGCTACTCCGGGCCCACCACATATATATATATATATATATATATATATATATATATATATATATATATATATATAATGTTCTCTTGCTTTAGTTATTGGCAATGTTGAAGTTGTTGGACGTCAACTTTATTCCGCAGCATTTTTTTGAGAAACTTGAAATGCAAATGCACTTCAAAGTAAAATTGGACAAACAATCTTTTTCTGCAGTCATCTTTTTACTATTTTGCTTATTATTTCAGTGACAAGATCATAGCTTGACCTTTTGTTTAATCATTTTGAATGAATCTGGAGAATGGACTGAAGTATTGTCATCAAAACCAATTTACATCAGCAAATATAGTCTTCAAAAATTACTTGGTGGCTCTTGTGAAATTTATTATTGAATCAATCTGCAAAGGATACAGGAATTTATCACAGATCTCCCCAGCAACATTCTTTACTGCTAAATCTGGTTATAACTTGCTGATGATGGGAGGTGTTCAAATCTCATAACATGCAATCTGGTCCACTGAAGTCATTCCTTGCCTAAACTTGCATTTCTGGTAGCTTATAAATGAAATGTTTTCATGGCAACACCAAGAAGAAGTATGCAGTAATGCAGAAAGAAAATAGGGAATAACCTCCTTTTGTGTGCATTCCTTTGCCAGCAAGTGGTCACAAAAAAGTTCTGGCAAGTTTGGGTTTTTGGTTTCCTTCATTCAGTGTCTGCTTTGCAAGGTTTACAAAAGATTGCAACAGGAACTTCTGCAAACATAATTGTTAAGACATTGAGGACATATTTTCTGTAGTGGATTCCAAGGTAAAAAATTCTTCAATAACTTGACTAAGAAACTTGATATAATCATTTATGAGGTATGGGATGATGCTGCACTTACAAGTAGATCTATCTGATGTAACTCTTAGCTAATTTTCGGATCTCCGAAATGATACAATGCAGAACCTTTTTCTCACCAAAAAAGAAAATTTTGTTGGTGGTTGATCAATTGAAAAGAAATGCCTCTGGCCTGATAAAGGAGCACATCCATGGAATGAGATAAAAGCCATGCAAAAACTGGACTGTATCAAAACTAGAAAGTAGAGCATTCATCCACTAGTGGATAGCACAGCATTCCAGCTGAATGTGGTCTCAAGGCACAACCAGGCAAAGTGCTCCACTTTCAGAAAACCATGTGATCCCTACCTTGGTTGAGATCAATGCCACAGGATGATCCACAGTATTTCTAGTATTCAGATTTTGTTTGAGCCTACCTATCGGTCAACCATTGCATTCAGAGACCTTTTATGATTAGTGGAAATAATAGTTTCATGTAATTTCCATGAAAGCAATGCTGACAAATGTTATCAGAGGAGAATGCAGTAGTTTAACCATTCTGAACACTTGAATTCTAAGTTAAGCTCTTCCAATCTCTCCTGAGTCGGATATTCTTCATCTTGTTTCCACCTGAGAAATGTAGCTTCTTGATGAAGCATATTTTGAGGCCATGACCATACCGACAACTTCACTTGTATTGAGCATGTAGACAAATAGGAAGGAAAGGAAGCAGAACTAAAATATTTACATGATGCTTCTTAAAAATTGGTAATTGGTAGAATTTGCATTCCAATGAAAAACCATTCCTATGTTGCCAATTCACTGCAAATTTGTTGTTCTCAGTCTTCTTCAATGCACATCATGATGTCCTATATGTTGTGTCAAGCATTAGTAGCAAACTTGGGAAATTCTTCCTTTTGACCTCAAATATGTTCTAATTAAAAGGAAATAATATACTCTTGAATCAGTAGGAACTTTTCATACCTTATAGCCTTCATTTATTTGGATAATGACAAAGCATGAGGCAGGAATACTATGGACTAGATGCATGCAAGAGTAGCATTGTGATACAGTCCTTTATGTACTAGCTAATAAACTGAGTAACAAGGTGCAAGTTTCACATGGAGATTTTATTCCCAACAAGAAAATAATTTAGCATTCATTTCAAAACAACTAGACCTCAGAAATCATTTGTTAGTCTGATGAATTAAGAGTGCCGAGATAGCTAAACTAACCTGACTTTTCACAAGCAAAACAAACCAGGAAAGATAAATTAAAACATGAAAATTTCATTATTGATAATCACTTTTGGTCAGCATAAAAATTCAAGTACCTGATGCAAGGAGAATAGCCAGAGCTGTGGACGATTTTGTATACTATAAGTCAATACAGAAGTACATGTTCAACAGTGTGCATATAAGCCAGGTTAAGATTGAGAAACCATGAAGATGCAGAAACAGATTTCTTATAACCCCACACCACAACAAGCTAATCGTCTTGCTTTCTCCACCTTGAAGACCTATTAACGTTGGTATTGCACTCGTGGCCACTGCTATCACCTGATTCAACGATCTCCAGTAGTTTTGCTTTCTCCAGAGGGCTGCTTCTGTAGGTTTGGTTGGCTTGTCGTTCCTGAAATGTTTTTGTAATAAAAGAAACACTCCAATTCTCATGTGAAATGATAAAGTGAGCACGATAAATATCTTAGTCATTTATTCATCATTTGATGTTCAGTAAACGACATATTTTGTTTGGGATCACACAAATGACATCTTGATCACATGCTAGCATCATTCATGAGGAAAATAGGTAATAAAAGATGATGAAAATTGAATTGGGTGTCATTGTGACCATCCATGAGTAAGAGAATGATTTTAACTGAATGCACAATTGATTGTGGCACAGGTTAGGCACATGATATTTCAGAGGTTAGAAACACATCTAAGACTACTATAACCACAAAGAAAAAGTATTCCCAGAAGTTAAAAAGCAATCTTATAGACCAAAAAGAAAATCACATTATTGCTGCTGGATCGTAAAAGTATGAACTCGACTTACATCTCGATAAGGAAAATCATTAACTTCAAGCATATGTATCACATGTCCCATCTTTGGCCTCTTTTGTGAATCGGGATCTATGCATCGAAGTGCCACTAAAAGAGCCCTTTTCAATGCCCTTGAAGAAGGTTTCTCAAGCAATTTAGGATCCAAAACACCTTCAGAATTACGATTGCTGACCATTGTCTTGATCCATTCAATCAGGTTAACCTGAAAAGCTACTAATCAGCCTGTGGAAAATAATCAAGTATTAGGTGACTTCCAGCATAAAGACCCCAACACTAACCTCTCCTGTTGGCCTGTTATAGTCAACTGGGTTTCGACCAGAAATTATCTCCATAATGAGAACCCCAAAACTATAAACATCACTCCTCTCATTCAACATGCCAGTGCTAGCATATTCAGGAGCTACATAACTACAAAGACACAGACGGTGGGTCATCAATCTCAAATTTCACACCACCAATATGGCACAATGTAGGCATGAAATTCATAGCTATTATGAGTTTAGAAGCAACCCAAATGTTCCCATCACCCGTGTCGTTACATAGTTCCTCTCTGACCCCAAAAGCTTTGCGAGCCCAAAATCTGAGACCTTTGGATTCCAGTACTTATCAAGCAAAATGTTACTTGATTTAATGTCCCTGTGAATTACCTTTGGTTCGAGCCCCTCATGCAAGTACATCAACCTGCACATGCATTGGTCTCGGTGAGTACTGAACAAGAAGTATATGATCAAATAAGAAAAGGTAACAATCAGCATTTCTTCTATACCCTTTTGCTGTTCCAAGAATGATGTTCATACGTATCTCCCAAGTAAGAGGGCTACAGAGTCCCACATCCCCATGAAGCCATTGATCCAAGTTCCCATTGTCAACGTACTCATATACAAGAATCCTAAGCAGCAACGCAACAAGAAGATTGTGAGTCACTTCATTTCTAAGCAATCCCCTTAAAGAATATGCAATCTTCTCACTTCATTTCTAAGCAATCCCCTTAAAGAACATGCAATCTTCTTGCAAATCTATGACTGACTTCCCATGTTGTCAAACTAACTAAAACCCAAAGAAACAAGAAGGTGGATGCAATACCTGTGAGCACCTTCCACACAGTAACCCAGTAACCTCACTAAGTTCTTGTGTCGCACGCGGCCAATTGCCTCCACTTCGACCGTGAACTCCCTCTCAGCTTGGCCTCTATCGACGAAGATGAAATGTCAGTGGAAAGCACACCTAAATCAACAGAAATTTCCAGCACGCAACAAGAACCAGACTGACTCATTCATTTAGATCAACATGCAATGCAGGACATTTGCCTTGGCACACTAAAGATGCAATTTTTCTTGGACATTTTTTATACTTGGCGACCATTAACACTGGTTTGTTAACGAGAGTGAAGAGAACACAAGAAGTGGCAGGCAATCAGAGATACCTGTTGTTGAGCAAGTTCTTCACTGCGACCTGAGTGTTGTCCTGCAGTAGTCCAAGGTAGACAATGCCGTAGCCACCTTCGCCGATCACATTCTCATCGGCGAACATGTTGGTGGCCACCTCGAGCTCCCTGAGAGTGTACCAGTGCCCCCATCCCAGATGAGACACCTCCGGAGCCCGGATCAAGGCGTGATCCACCGACCGGCCCTCCACACCGCCGCCGCCGCCACTGCGCTCAGGGTACATGATCCTATGGCCCTTCCCGATTTCAATGTGGATCTTTTGCTGCTCGATCAGGCTCTCCTCCTCCAAAGCCGGCGTCAGCAGGGCCTGCCGCTCGATGGACGCCGACGAGGGGGGGTCGGATTCCGGGAGCGGCTTCCGGAGGATCTCGCCGAGTGGGCGGGCGGCCGACGAGCGAAAAGAGGGGTCGACGCGGATCTCCTGGATTTCCTTGGAGACGATCGGGATGGAGGCGGTCGGAATGGGGCGGGGGGATGGGGTGGGCGGACCGTGCCTGGATGCGAGCCAGAGGGAGATGAGGAAGAGGAGGAGGACGAAGGCGGCGCCGACGCAGATGCCGACGACGACCCACATGTGGAGGCCGAAGACGGCGGTGCGCTTGGAAAGCTCGTCGTTGAGGAGCGGCGGGCTGCTGAGGCCCGACATGGTCCTGGGTAGCTAAGAGTAGCAGTGGCGGGGGAGTGTGGATATATATATATATATATATATATATATATATATATATATATATATATATATATATATGTGTGTG